TATGATAATTGAAAAAAAATATAGAAAATAGGTGTTAGTATCTTTAGTTTTTTGTTATTTCTATTTTTTAATATGTGCGTATGTGATGAAATGCGAATTATTTTTGGGGGGGCTGAATCGGTTTTTGGGGGGGCTTGACCCCCCAAGCCCCCCCCTAACTTCGCCCATGAATTTATTACCATTTATTATACATGTACAATTACCTACTATTTTTCTTGCCTTTAACTTAGCAAAAGAATTCCATGTTGGGCCGGTTTCTCAATATCAAGTCACCCCCGGGGCCCCGCCGGGTAAAGCCGGAGTTTTATGCATCCGTTTTTCCGACGAAAGATGTCCGAAACACATTCTATTCTGACATAATCGTATAAAAATAGAAGATTTTTCGGACATATTTCGTCAGAAAACGGATGCATGAAAATCCGGCATCAAGCATAAGAGTTGCCATACGTCCGTTTTCGTAACGGACAATCCGTTATTTTGGAACCGTCCGTTTGTCCGGTCCGTTTCAGTCCATTGTTCGGTATTTTTATTATCCACTTGAAAAAATATTAATAGTTCTGTTGCATCCGACATGAGAACCGTTCCAGAACCAGTAAGAAAATCACGGTTCTAGAATGGTTCTCATGTCTGTTGAAACAGGAGCTTATATTGAATACCTTTTCCGAAACGCTGATCCAATTAACCGGATCACCAGCTTATATACTTTGTCTTGTTTGTTTGGAAAAAGATAGAAAACAAACAACTGGTGATCGGGTTAATCGGATATCGGATCAGCGTTTCCGAAAAGGCCTACTATCCCAATATTATTTCGTATGGCGTCATCTATGAGTTTAAAGCAGCGCACCTGGAACGGGCGGACACAGTTGTTTTTAAACCATTCATGGGACGGTTTTTGACGTGTTGGAAAGATCTATTGTGTTGATGACAATAAAGTTTTTTTTTAACTTATGACCAGGAAATTGTCCCGCCTCCGCACCGCCACTATCCAAAATAATATATAACGTCAAAAGCTGTTTTTTTTTTTGTTAAATGTTTTGTTGATCTGGGCTGTCCGTCCGTTATTTTCTGAAAAAAATGGCAACCTTTGCAACATAACTCCGGGGTAAACATATAGCAACTAGACCAGCTTACCCTGGAGGTAAGACCAACCCGGAGGTGACTCGCTATTGAGAAACTGGTCCGTAATTTTAGAATAAAACCGCAATTCCAATCAGGAAATTAGAATTTATCTTTTTGCCGCGACTGGACTGCCAAACTCTTTTTATTAATTTATTTAAAATTAATAGCTTTATTCCAACCCAGTAGGGAACCGTACATTTCACGCTCAGGATTCTGCACAAAACGTAAAATTTCTGCGAAGAATCCGAAATTGGTATACGTGGTTCCAAAACCTTGGTCGGTTTTTTGGAGGGTTGGAACAGATCTTATAACATTATTGTTGGAGTTTCTTTTTTATAAATATTATGGATGAAAAAAGGCGGTTGTCTTCTACCGCCGATTAAAATTTTACCGCCGGGTCTTTTGGGATCCCCAGAACCCCCCTAAATCCGGCACTGCATCTAACACAATAACCAACTGGCTTGTGTCAAATGAACCCTCTTTGTCGGACCGTCGGACCATCAAGCAATAAGGTTCGACTTAGAGGCAGTAATAAATCACTCAGTACAGACGAGAATCGCAAAACTCACCAACTGGGTATCCTTTGTGAAGGGTCTCTGCCTGAGTCTAGATGAACTCCCTTCTGACATGAATACAATAGAAGAGCTAGAGGCATCATCTGACAATCTAGCAAATGCAATAAAAGATTCCTATGAGAACAGTTGTCTCGTAAAACAGAAGGCAGTCCACAGGGATGTGCCTTGGTGGAACGGGCAGCTGAGACGTCTGAAACAAGATGCCAGAAAACTGTTCAACAAGGCAAAAACTAACGGCAACTGGGCAGATTATAGAACAGCCCTAGGCAAGTACAACCGTGAATTAAGAAAATCAAAAAGAAAATCATGGAGATAATTCTGCAAGGGTATTGACGAATTAGCCCCAGCTCAACGTCTCCAGAAAGTTCTTTCAAAAAACCACTCAAACGGAATTGGTCTGCTTAAAAAGCCAAATGGAGAACACTGTACCGACCATATAGAAAATCTAGAGCTACTACTACAAACTCACTTTCCAGGTTCAGTAATCGTTGAAACCCTGAACCAGGTCACTCCGCCTATCGAAGGGCGACAAAGCCCTAACGGCAAGAGCAAAAGGCTGGCTGGGAAAATCTTCACAATGAACAGAATAAAATGGGCAATCGATAGCTTCAGACCCTACAAATCTCCAGGCAAAGACGGGATTTTTCCCGCACAACTGCAAAAAGGCTACGAGTACTTAAAGGTACACCTACAAAAGCTTATTACCGCTATCTTGGAGGAAAGCTAATGTGATATTTATACCAAAAACGGGTCGCCGACCCGAGGACGAACCAAAATCATATCGTCCCATTAGTCTAACCTCCTTTCTCCTTAAGACAATGGAGAAAGCAATCGACCAGTACATCAGAAGCGAAACTCTATTGAGAAGACCGCTCTACTCGAAGCAATTTGCCTATCAGCCAGGCAAATCCACAATAAGTGCTTTACACTACCTGGTTGAAGACATTTAAAAGACAATCGAGTGCAAAGAGATCGCTCTCACAGCTTTCATCGACATAGAGGGTGTCTTTGACAACACTTCACATCAATCAATCGCCAGAGCATTACCAGAATGGGATGTTGAAGTTCCAATAATTGTAAAATGGATAGAGTCGATGCTGAAACACCACTGTCAGAGGATGTCCTCAAGAGGGAGTTCTTTCTCCACTACTATGGACACTGGTGGTAAACAAAATTCTTACCAGACTGAGTAGTGCTGGATACCAGGTCATAGGCTACGCAGATGACCTAGCCATTGTAATCAAGAGCAAACATGAAGGCGCAATGACAAGCCGAATGCAAAGTGCCCTAAACATCGTTAAAAATTGGAGCGAAGGCGAAGGATTATCCCTAAACGCAAACAAAACAATCCTTGTCCCGTTCACAAGAAGAAGGAGGCTAAATCTGAAAGCCCCGACCCTTAACGGTACACAACTAACATTTTCCAACGAAGTGAAGTACTTAGGGGTCACCCTGGACCGAACCCTCGCTTGGAACAAAAGTAAGAGAAAACATACTCTCGAGTTACATCAGCCATTTGGTCATACTGAAAACTTGTTGGCAGAACATGGGGGCTAAAGCCAAGGATGGTATTCTGGATTTACCAAACCATAATAAATCCATGGTCACATACGCCTCAGTGGTGTGGTGACCCAAAACCCAACAAGTCAGTGCTCAGATCAAGCTCAGAAAGGTGCAAAGGCTGATATGTCTAGGAATAACGGGAGCAATGTCAACTTGCCCCACCGCAGCCTTAGAGACGTTACTCAACATGCCCCTCCTTCATCTATGTGTGAAAAAAGAGGCAATAACCAGCGCTCACAGGCTATTCCAAATAGACAAGTTCAAGCCTGGTGATCTGAGGGGACATCTGCGAATCCTTGATTTAATAAAACTGGAGAATGCCAGCAAACCAAGCGACCACATGATGGTCAGATTGGACTTAGAGATCCCATTCGCAGTGATAATAAACGACCGCCAATCATGGGAGAATAAAGAATTGCCACAAGCAGACAATGCATCTCTGTGGTACACAGATGGATCCAAGCTAATGGAAGGAGCTGGACTGGACATCTCCGGCCCTAATTTCAAGCTCTCCAAGGCATTGAGTAAACATCTTACAATATTTCAAGCCGAACTGCTTGCCATAGATATATGTGCACAAGAGTGTCTTAACCAAAGCCTCAAAAGAAAACACATCTTCACACTATCGGACAGCCAAGCTGCCTTAAAAGCCTTAAGGGCTTTCAAATGTACGTCAAAACTAGTCTGGGAGTGTAAACAGACCCTAAAAACACTAGCGACACATAACCAGGTAACGTTGATGTGGCTGCCTGGTCATCGAGGCATAGAAGGAAACGAAGAGGCAGATGGTCTCGCAAAGGAAGGGGCCTCAACACCGTACCATGGACCAGAGCCCTCATACTGTGGCTTAATGAAGAGCGACATCATGGAAGAACTCAATAAATGGGAGAAAGACCAACTGTCATCATACTGGAGGCACACACCGGGACTCAGACAGTCTAAAAGGTTTATTACCCTTTCAGCAAAAAAAGATGAACAGCTCCTAAGCATGAGCAGACTAGACATCAGATTGGTGGTGAGATTGCTCACAGGACATTGCCCAGTAAAATACCAGTTAAGGTTAATGGGCAGAGCGGAAGACGCGATCTCTGCAGATTCTGCTCAGACGCAATAGAGACCACAGAGCACCTGCTCTGCGAATGTCCAGCCCAATTCTGCAAAAGGCTCAAATTCCTCGAGGGGGCAAGACTGTCACCAGAAGAGTCAAAGGGCCAACTAACACCCAGAAAAATAGCTTCCTTCGGCAGAAGTTTACGCTTCCTAGAAACAATTTGAAATGTAGAGTCATGTACAAAATATCTGCAAAGGTAGCAGTGCTGAGCGGCTGAAAAGCCGAAACGACTCCCCCGCAATTTACAATCTACAAACTGAAAATTTAACTTTTTTTTTTTTAGAAAAAATCTGAAAATATAGGCAAATAGTTGCATTAAGATTAAGTTACATTTTACCTTTTTTCCAAAATTATTGCAACAAAAATCATCATTAAATTGATTCAACAACAATAGTCTTATCAGAAAAGTAAAACAATCTTCCAACCAAAAATTGCTGACCTTTGGGTTCCTTTCTCTCGATGCTTACATTTTAAGCACCACAATCTAAAATAATGTGTCATTTTTAATCGAATAAAGTAATGCCTTATCAAGAATCCTTGTTTAGTTTGATTTTGTATAAAATAATGAACTTTGATATTGGGTTTAAAATGTCGGATAAGATAAAAAGGGAGAAAAGGTCAATAGATCTACGGGTTTTTATGTGGATAACGAACACCACAATCGGTTATTGAATAAGATTTTAGTGTAACGAGTGCATTTGTGTTGTTCACTAGTGTATAATTTTTTTGGAGGTAAGTGAATTTTTGAGTTAACGTTTTCTTGACAAAATGGCAAAAAGATTTCCAAATTAAATTCAAGTTTTTTTGTACATTGAATTTTCTATAAAATAAGCAAAATTTGGTACCAGTGATTCGAATAATAATCGAGTTATTGAGCTTCAAAGTTAAGATTTATTTAAAATTTTGCTGAAAACTACAAGTTTAAAAATCATATAACTTTTAAAACAAATTAAAATTAAAAGAAAATCTTCATTTACATTGAAGAAATTTTGCAGTCAAAGTCTGATGATGGTGGTTAATATAACCGAAACTCTCTCATCTTTCTAAATATTGAAACACAAATTGTTGTCAATTATTTTCGATTTCATTAAATAATAGCCTCATTATTATCATCAACAATTTATCGTTTTCATGTCAAAACGAAATTACAATTATTATTGTTTCAATAATGATATTAAATGCAACATTATAAAGTATTGTTTTTCCAAATAGATTTAGTAACAAACAATGTCTTCACCGTTTACTCTAAACTTGGACCCTCCAAGTCCCGAAACTTTAGCCAAAGCCAAAGAGGAACTTCGAGAAACTCCCGAAAATGTCGCAAAGGGTTTGGCCGAATTGAGGGAGCTATTGAAAAACGACTCAAAAATCTACTTTAAAACCGATGACGATAAAGTACTTATTATGTACTTGAGGCCTTGTAAATTTTACGCTCAAAGTGCATACGAATTGGTGAGAATTTGTATGTAAATGTATGACGTTGTTATAATATCGTAACAACAATTTTAGATGAAAAGAATCGCAGATTTTAAAGAAAAACACAAAAACATCTTGACAAATGTTTTACCAGAAGACGAAAAAGATGCTTTTATCCATCACGATATGGTAAATGTGTTAAAAGACCGAGACCATTTAGGTAGAAGAGTTTTAATTGTAAATTGTGGTGGTAAGTGAAGTTTTTCTAAAACTTATCAGACAATTTATTTTTTAATTGAATTTTCTAGCTTCTTGGGATCCTTCGAAAGTTTCCACTGATCAAATGTTTAGAATTTTCTATTTGATTCACGAAGCTGCTCTCTTAGAAGAAGAAACTCAAATTAATGGAGTTGTGGTTATTATGGATTATAATGGACTTGGTATGAAGCAAGTGAGTAAAACAAAAATAAATAAATTAAAAAATTAAATACAGAAAATAGGAGACAAAGAATTATGTATTTATAATATTGTTTTTATCTCTTGCTGTATTATCTTATCAACTACTTAAAAACCATTGAAGTTTTTTTTTTAATTTTGTTTTAAAGATTAAGTTATAAGAAATTATCGGTTATCTAAAAATTAATTAAAATTAATAAATAATTACGTAAATGTTTTTAAAAATAATGCAATTTTTTTAATTAGTTTTTTAACATTGTTTCAATGTGAATTCGAATTTTGAAAAACTAAAAATACTATCAGATAAAGTAGGAAAAAATACGTCGAAAATGTCTCTTGACAATTTTGGCTCCGACGCTTCCTAAGCCCGGAAAAAAATAAAACAGAAAAAAATTAGATTTCTATTAAAATTATTTTTCTTTTGGGATTTTTCGTGCAATTTGAAAGCATCTGACAACACTGTCCTTGTGCTAATGCTTCAAGCAACGATGCTAAATTTTTGTTTGTTTTTTAAAAAAAATTGTTTTATTATTCTTCAAGGATATATTTGTGTTTAATGCAACATTGTAAAAAATATGCGATTCTTGTGCACAACACATTACATAACTGATTTGACAACGTTGGAAAAATGTTAAAGAATTAGATAACGTTGCCAAGCCTCAGAATTTTTATCAAAAACCCAATCAAGAAATTGGAAATTTTGTATATTAAAGTAAGTTCATTATTGATTCAAATTCTTTGTACATAAATGTGTGTAATTTAAAAGCATTTCACAACACTGTCTCAATGTTATAGAGTTTTTGTGTTCAATAACGTCAGTTTTATATTTAAAAAAAAGCTTATAAAAAAATACACAACTGCTATGCTACGTTGCCAAGTTTGTTTTTTGATTGGTAACCATTAAAAGAAATGGAGTAATTAAATAATGGTAATTTCTTAGGTTAATAGAGTAAAATTTAAAAGATTACACAACTGATTTATCAACATTAGGTAAATGTCAAACGAGATGTCGAATCATTTTAGACAACGTTGCCAAACTTCATAATTTGCATAAAAAATCCACGGAAATAATTAGTGTTTTTTTGTGATGACAGTCTTTTACTGATTATAATAGTAGAAAACAAAAATTTGTTTATATTTTCAAAGATTTTTTTTTTTAAAAAAGGTTAAATTTTCGATTCACCCATTGTTTTACTCGTAGGTCGATCGAGTGTACGCCACTGGTATCGCCCTGTTTCTGACAACCTCCTTGACCTTCAATAATAGTATGAATTTATTCCCATGTACAGTTTTTGAATAATTGTCATCTGATTATACAGTGTGTCCACTTAAATTCGCAGCATATGGGAAATTTTTTATTATCAATTTTACGGAAAAAAATTATTTTTTATAAAAGTTTCTGCTTCTTGAAAAAATAGTATTATGATATGCCCCTGACTTTCCTCTTTTTTTCCAGAAAATGTCATACTTTTCAACTGAATAGTTTTCCAGAAAAAAAAATAAAATGTTAGATGGCGCATTTATGCTTAATTTAGTTGGTTTTCATTAATTTTCAATGGGTTTATTTTCCACTGGAAAAATTTGAAATTTTACCATGATGTGCCCCTGACTTTCCTCTTTTTTACCAGAAAATATCATAATTTTCCCCTGAATAATTTTCCAGAAAAAAAAAATAAAATGTTAGATGGTACAGTTATGCCTAATTTAGTTGATTTTCATTAATTTACAATGGGGTTATTTTCCACTGGAAAAATTTGAAACTTTACTATGATGCGCCTCTGACTTTTCTCTTTTTTTCCAAAAAATGTCATAATATCCCCCTGAATCATTTTCCAGAAAAAAAATCAAATATTAGATGGTGCATTTATGCCTAATTTAGTTGAATTTCATTAATTTTCAATGGGGTTATTTTCCACCAGAAAAATTTGAAATTTTACTATGCTACGCCCTTGACTTTCCTGTTTTTTTCCAGAAAATGTCATAATTTTTTCCTGAATAGTTTTCCAAAAAAAAAAAAAAATGTTAGGTGATGCATTTATGCCTAATTTAGTTGATTTTCATTAATTTTCAATGGGGTTATTTTCCACTGGAAGAATTTGAAATTATACTATGGTGCGCCCCTGACTTTCCTCCTTTTTTCCAGAAAATGTCATAATTTACCCCTGAATAGTTTTCCAGAAAAAAAAAAAAATATATTAGATGATGCATTTATGCCTAATTTACTTGATTTTCATTGGTGTTGTTTTTCACTGGAAAAATTAGAAATTTTACTATGATGCGCCCCTGACATTCCTTTTTTTTTCCAGAAAATGTCATAATTTTCCCCTGAATAGTTTTCCAGAAAAAAAATAAAATGTTAGCTGGTGCATTTATGCCTAATTTAGTTGATTTTCATTAATTTGCAATGGGGTTATTTTCCACTGGAAAAATTTAAAATTTTACTAAGATGCGTCCCTGAATTTCCTCTCTTTTTCCAGGAAATGTCATAATTTATCCCTGAATAGTTTTCCAGAAAAAAAAAAATATATATTAGATGATGCATTTATGCCTAATTTAGTTGATTTTCATTAATTTTCAATGGAGTTATTTTCCACTGGACAAATTTGAAATTTTACTATGATGCGCCCCTGACTTTCCTCTTTTTTTCCAGAAAATGTCATAATTTTCCCCTGAATAGTTTTTCAGAAAAAAAATAAAATGTTAGATGGTGTATTTATGCCTAATTTAGTTGATATTCTTAAATTTTCAATAGAGTTATTTTCCACTGGAAAAATTTGAAATTTTACTATGATGCGCCTCTGACTTTTCTCTTTTTTTTCCAGATAATATCATAATTTTTCCCTAAATAGTTTTCTAGAAAAAAAATAAAATGTTAGATGGTGCATTTATGCCTAATTTAGTTGATTTTCATTAATTTGCAATGTGGGTATTTTTTATTGGAAAAATTTGAAATTTTACTATGATGTGCCCCCTGACTTTCCTCTTTTTTCCAGAAAATGTCATAATTTTTCCCTGAATAGTTTTCCAGAAAAAAAAATAAAATGTTAGATGGTGTATTTATGCCTAATTTAGTTGATATTCTTAAATTTTCAATAGAGTTATTTTCCACTGGAAAAATTTGAAATTTTACTATGATGCGCCTCTGACTTTTCTCTTTTTTTTCCAGATAATATCATAATTTTTCCCTAAATAGTTTTCTAGAAAAAAAATAAAATGTTAGATGGTGCATTTATGCCTAATTTAGTTGATTTTCATTAATTTGCAATGTGGGTATTTTTTATTGGAAAAATTTGAAATTTTACTATGATGTGCCCCCTGACTTTCCTCTTTTTTCCAGAAAATGTCATAATTTTTCCCTGAATAGTTTTCCAGAAAAAAAAATAAAATGTTAGATGGTGCATTTATGCCTAATTTAGTTGATTTTCATTAATTTGCAATGGGGTTATTTTCCACTGGAAAAATTTGAAATTTTACCATGATGCGCCTCTGACTTTCCTCTTTTTTTTCCCAGAAAATGTCATGATTTTCCCTTGAATAGTTTTCCAGAAAAAAAAAAAAAAAATGTTAGATGGTGCATTTTTGCCTAATTTAGTTGATTTTCATTTATTTCCAATGGTGTTATTTTTCACTGGAAAATTTTAGTATGGTAATAGTTAATAATAATAATAATATAATAATAAACTATTAAAACTTGAAATAGCATGTACAGGGTCGTCAGAAAATAGAAAAATATACAGGGTGTTTTGGTAAAAGATTCATACTAACAGGGAGGATTAAGGGGGTTTGTCAGAAACAGGGTGATACCAGTGGCGTATATTCGATTGATCTACGAATGGAGACTAGAAATTTTGAATAAGGACAAGAGAAACAATAATGAATAAAATCTCCCAAAAGTGGTTTCATAGTATAGAATTTTTTCAACAACACGGCAACAGCGCATCTAGTTCTTTGGCAAATTTTACAAAATATGACAACACCGCTTATATAATTTATATATAGGATGTTCAAGAAAAAAAAAACAAGATTCAAGTTCACAAAAAAATCTTACTAGTAAATTGAACTTGGAGTTGAAACATTATTATAATATATTTTTTTTTCTTTCAGGTCAAATCTCTGACTCCTAGTTTCAGCATGAAACTTTTAGGTTTCATCCAGGATGCCATGCCTTTGAGACTGAAAGAAGTCCACATGGTCAAAGAACCCTTCGTTTTCAACATGGTTTGGACCATTTTCAAACCTTTAATCAGGGAAAAACTCAAAAAGAGGGTAAGCGTCAATAATAATGTCAAATTTTAAAAACAAGAATGACAATAATCTGTCAATATCATGTCATGCATTGATCTATTGGACAAGAGAGTACAGAGACATCTTGTAACTATAAAAATGAAAAATAATCTACGCATGACTTTAATGTCATTTGCTCATATGTGTCATCTTTTTATATGACATTGTTGTCAAATTCCAGATTCATTTTCACGGTTCCAAGATGGCGTCGTTGCACAAGTTCATCCCGCCTACACATTTGCCGAGCGACTACGGCGGTTTGTTGCCGGAAATCGACTACAGCGGCAAAGAGTGGTACCCGGTCATCGACGGCCATTTGGATCACATCAAAATGATGAACGAGTTTGGATTGGTTAAGAAATAAATTGTGGATTGTTGCAGTATTTTTAAAGAGATTTTAAGAAATAAAATTTTATTTAAGTTTTTGTAGGACGTTTTTCTTCAAGTTGACACACCCTGTATATATTTTTTTTAAGTTGACAAATCATTGTTCCATGCACATATTATATATAATACATAGTATCTTTATGAAATTTAGTTCTTTTACTAGAACATGTATGTACAGGGTGGCCCATTTTCGATGTTTTATGGGGTAAATCGAAAACTAGCAGAGGTATCAAAAATCTCGGAGCACATTCTCGACCTTTACTTTTTTTCTCCAAAACTATTGAAGGTAAAGGTATAAAACCTTATATCATTGAAATCAGCTCACAAAGATCTATTCAATGAAAAAATAATATACGGGGTGTCCCATTTAAAAAAACACAACTTTAGCTAATATTCCAAAATCGGTGGCAACTGGAAAAAAAATTGGTCATTTCACTGGATTCTACTTGAAAAATTGCCTATAGAAAGTATTTTTCGTTTTTGGATATCTTGATTAATAAAGAAATTAGAGGATTTTTTAAAATTGGCCAAAATTTGAAAAGTGCCCTGTATTTCCTAAACGCATCAAGTTAGCCGTGATCTGTCTTCACCATGGTTATTTTCTCAAAAAAAGGGGTCGAGAATGTGCTCCCAGATTTTTGATATCTCTGCTAGTTTTTGATATACTTCATTAAAACATTGAAAATGGGCCACCCTGTACAGGGCAGTGATGCCAAGTTTGGTGAAATTTCACCAGGTCTGGTGATTTTATGAAAAATCTGGTGATTGATGAAAAACTTTTTGAAAAATGGCAATTTCTGGTGATTTTGAAATTTCATCAATTTTGAATATTTTTAACAATACTTTATAAACATTCCTCGTAATATATTAAAATTTTACTTCATTAACATACAAATTTCATTTGTTTGACAGAAAATCAAATACCGATAAGTGGTGGACCTCACACCTTTGATTTTTATATAAATTTGTATTTGCTCTTTTGATATATTTATATGTTTCCCTTTTTATATTTCAATTTCTGTTTATTCCAGGCTGTTGTTGCTATTGGCCGGTTATTTTTCAAGTTGGCAACATGTATTTTGTTTGGCCAGTGGCGTTTCTTATAGGGGGTTTCAGTCAAATCAATCGAAAACTCGAAATTATTATTTTTCATATTTTCGAAATTTTGACTTTTTCAATTGATTCAGCGGGCTTAAATTAATCGAAAAAAATCCCAACATCACTTTCAAAATGGCGATTTCAAAAAGCTAAAAAATCTCAATTTTCGTTTTGGAAATTTTTCCAAATCTTGACAAGGTTAGGAATAATGGCCAATATCTTCAAAGAAATTTGAACAAATCAAAACAAATTATATATGGTTGGAAAGAGAATTAAATTCTCTATAAATCCATGCTAAATTGGTTCTGATAACTCGAATACTTTCTGGGCAATTGGATCTCAAAGTAAACTTTTAGTCCAAATTTTATCAAAAATTTCAAACTCGATTTTCTCGAAAACCATAAGAGCTAGCGATTTTAACTAAATACCATTTTAAAGCCCTTGTCAAGAGTTACATTTCCTGACAATTTTAATTCAAAATCTTCAATAGATTTTAAGATATCCAAGATCAAATATTTTGAAATAAAAATCTAAAGGGGTAACCCTTTGAAAAATTCGAAATTTTTATTGTTCATATTTATTCAATTTTGACTTTTCCAATCGATAGAGCGGGTCTAAATTAGTCGAAAAAAACTCTAACATCATTACAAAATCTTGATTTCAACACAGAGAAAAATTAAAAAGAAAATCTCAATTTTTAGGTTTAAATTTTTTTAAAATCCTGACAAAGTTAGGAGCAATTGCCAATATTTCTATTAAATTTTAAGCAAATCAAAATAAATTATATATGGTTGGAAAGAGCATCAAATTCTCTATAAATCAGTGCTAGATTGAGTTTGATAGCTCGAATACTTTTAGAGCAATTGAGTCTCAAAGTTCGATCTTAGTGGAAATTTAGTCAAACACTTCAAACTCGATTTTCTCAAAAACCGTAAATGCCAGCGACTTTAACTAAGTACCATTTTGAAGCCCCAATCAAGGGCTACAATCTCAAAAAAAAATTAATCCAAAATCTTTGACAGGTCTCGAGAAAATTGAGTTTAAACATTTTGAAAAAAAAAATTCAAAGGGGGTACCTTTTGGAAAAAAAATTGAAAAACTCAAAATTTTCATTTTTCAGATTTTGGCAATTTTGATTTTTCCAATCGATAGAGCGAGTTCAAATTAGTCTAAAAAAACTCTAACATCATTACAAAATCTTAATTTCAATACAGAGAAAAATTAAAAAGAAAATCTCAATTTTTAGGTTTATTTTTTTTTTGAATCCTGACAAGGTTAGGAGCAATTGCCAATATTTCTATTAAATTTTGAGCAAATCAAAATAAATTATATAAGGTTGAAAAGAGCATCAAATTCTCTATAAATCAGTGCTAGATTGAGTTTAACAACTCAAATACTTTTAGAGCAATTAAGCCTCAAAGTTGGATTTTAGTTGAAATTTAATCAAAAACTTCAAACTCGATTTTCTCAAAAACCCCAAATGCCTCGACTTCAACTAAGTACCATTCTGAAGCCCTAATCAAAGGCTACAATCTCAAAAAAAATTGATCCAAAATCTTTGACGGGTTTCGAGAAAATTTAGTTTGAAAATTTTGAAATTAAAATCCAAAGGGTTTAAACCCTTTGAAAAAATCGAAATTTTTATTTTTCAGATTTTTTGAATTTTGACTTTTCCAATCGATAGAGCGGATCTAAATGAGTCGAAAAAAATTCTAACTTTATTTCCAAATCTCGATTTCAAAAAAGAAAAAAAATCAAAAAGAAAATGTCAATTTTCAGGTTTAATTTTTTTTTTAATCCTAACAAAGTTAAGAGCAATTGTCAATATTTCCATTAAAATTTGAGCACCATCAAAACAAATTATCCATTGTTGGAAAGAGCATTAAATTTTCTATAAATCAATGCAAGATTGAGCTCCATAGCTCAAATATTTTCCGAGCAATTACACCACAAATTTGAATTTTAGTCGAAAAAGTATCAAAAACTTCAAACTAAATTTTTTCAAAAACCGTAAATGCCAACGACTTCAATCAAGTACCATTTCAAGGCCCTAATCAAGGACTACAATCTCAAAAAAAAATTGATCCAAAATCTTTGACGGGTTTCCAGAAAATTGAGTTTGAACATTTTGAAATAAAAATCCAAATCCTTTGAAAAAAATTTAAAAACTCAAAATTTTCATTTTTCAGATTTTCGTAATTTTAACTTTTCCAATCGATAGAGCGGGCCTAAATAAGTCGAAAAAAAATCTAACATCATTTCAAAATGACAATTTTAAAGAAAGTTTTTTGGATTTAAATTTTAAAAAAAAATCCTGACATGTTCATGAAGAATTGCCCATATCTTCATTGAAATTTGAGAAAACTAAAACATATCGTATATCATTGAAAAGAGCATTAAATTTTCTATAATTCTGTGCTAAATTGAATTTGGTATTTTACTACAATCACTGATCAATAAATCCCATGTATTCCCAAGAATTACAACTAGTTATGATTGTCAAATATTTCACCAGGTGATTTCCATTTTTTTGGGGATTCCTATATCATTCTCAATTGATTACCTGATTTCCTCTAAGCAATCATTTGATTCTCAAAACAATATTCAATTGTTAAGCTTCTTAAGATATTGTGCAAAATATGGCAACGATGAGCCACATTTTCTCCCGTATCATATGATATTATCAATTTTCGAATCCGACATTTTGTCTATGGGCCACAATGTCATCTAATAGTCAAACTCTCAAACCCAAATATTATAATCTTTTCCGGCAGTTAACAAAAATTCAACTAATTGGAGTTTCCTCCCCTACTCAATTCAGAAAATGAAAAAAGGCCTGAAAAATTGAGACTGAAAAACCAGGTACACACGATGAAGGTGACCAATAACCCTCGCCCCTACGGACTCGTAATTTAGAATGACCCCGGCCTTCTGGGCTTGTAACTTAAGTAGACCCCGGCCCTTCGGGCTCGTAAATTAAAAAAACCTCGACCCTATGGGCCTGCGAAGTGTACGATTTTTTTTTAATTAAAATTACGTCTTTTGAAGCTCTATTTTTGCTTAAGGCCGCGTTAATGGCCGCCATATTTAAACTGTGATTGGTTGATATTTTGAAACTTGTTTTAAAGCCTTTAAAAAAACGGATCATCAGAATTATTGGCTCAAATTTGGCATAAACATTATTTGATCGATTATCTACAATTCCTTATTTTGGTTTTTCGATATTCAGCCTTTTTTTTTTAATTCAAAAATCATGTTCGCAACCACCAAAACAATTAAATGTGTTGGTGGTTGCATATTTGCATGTTTATCAAGCTTGGACCCGTGAAAAGCATATTTTATTGATAACCGCGAAAAACTAAAAAAAGCTAATTGTAGAGATACTAGACAGAGCTGGGCAGTAGCTAGCTACCAAGTAGTTGAGCGTAAGGCATGTACATTGATAAAAGTAGCTTTCACTAATTCAAAATGTAGTTAAGTTACTAATAACTTAGCTACTTTTTCAAAGAGGTAGTTGAGCTACTGAGTAACTTAACTACTTACAATATAAAGTAGCTTGTAGCTTGTAACCAGCTACTTTTTCCAAGTAGCTTGCCCAGCTCTGATACTAGATAATATATCAAATAATGTTTATGCCAAAGTAAGGCTACCATAATATTCTGATAAAAAAACGGGACATTTTTATGAAGCAGATGTTTCATGTATTTAAGAAAAAATAGCGCCGCAGGCGAATTTCTGTTTTTTCGGGACCCCGCAAGTAGATCGAACTCACGGATAATACACACACTACTACTACAGGTTAGCCTATCCTCATAAGGCCTGTGTAGAACAAATCTGAAGCCCCCTACCCATTGAGATATTATTATCGATTAAAGGCGATTAACCAGTCGGTTATATTGACAGATAAACGATGCATTTAACGTCATTTATAACCGATTGGTTGACAAATGACGTTTGCTTCATTGATTATCTGTCAACTATGACCGACCGGTTAATCGCCTTTAATCAA